AGTTTAACATGACAGCAAATGTACAAGGTTTTGTCAGCATCAGGTGTTGATGACAAAACCTTGTCGAAACGTTGTACATTTGCTGTCATGTTAAACTTATATTAAAGTTTTTCTTCATTACCCATTTAAGCCGTCTCCAGCCATTATTAGTCTCAAAGTGGGTTCCTCGTCATCGAATTTACCTCCATAATGTCCAGTGAGTACATATGGGTTTCTGCATGACTTACCTCCATAACGTCCAGAGTGTATGTATTATGGGTTTCTGCATGAGTATTGCTGACATATGTCTCCAACATTTTGAATTCATCACACTCTTTGTCCAGTACTTCAATCTTTGTCTTGAGCTGTTCATAATGAACATCAATGGGGTCCTTGCTTGAGTCAGATGAAGCATCTTTCAGGAGGTTATAGGCTACCTCAATCTCTAGCAGAGAGTCTAGCATCTCAAGTTTATTCTATGGAAAAATTGGAAAATTTCGCCTAGTCACTACTTATATGAAAGGCTTGAGTTATTAATGTTTCAGAAGAATAAATCAGCTTTTAGGTTTTTTGTATCTTAGGCATAGAATATTAAGAATGAAAAGCATAAAGTAACAGCTTTTACAGCCTTTTAAACAAATCATAATAGAATTCTATATCCTCATATACTGTAATATTTAACAAAAATAAAACCTTTTTAAATAAGAATAGAGAAAGGCATGTTTCGTTTTTTCTTTAGAATTTCTCAAGGTTTGTTTGAAAAGCTTAAAGTAGAGTTTTTTAAAATGATATACCTTTATGATTTCTTCTTTGTCCAACAGAGGGGGTTTTTTCATTCCAAAATCATGGGGGATGAGAGTATAAAAACGATTTGAAGCATCAAGAAACATTGTTTGACTGCCTTTAGTTTTTATGAGCTGGAAAGAAAAAAGAAAATGTATTAGTGTTCCTAGTCACCAACCATGAAGTATTTTCATATATATTTTATTAAACTACTAAATACAGTGTATGATTAAGATTCAACTCTCCACAAAGCTTCACTTCAAATATTTTTGTATTTTTCAGGTATTTGCACAAAACGAAGACTGTTTTTATTTGTATTATCTGCCCCTAATTTTTAACTGATATGCTAGAGGGAAGACAGCCAGTCAACAGTATCCACTACTAACTCTGGAGAGGAATTTTAATTGAATAGTTGAATTTGATTGCCACTCTTATAATGCACCCACAATCAGAAAGTTAAATGCACAATTCTGTGGCAATGGGACACACACACACACCAAAGGCCCTCTATATTTTAGATTCATAGTCTGGCACACTAGCCACACCTAAACCCATTTCCAAAGTAGATTTTAAACTGATTTTTTAAAAAGAAATAATACAGGTCTCTATCAGTGTCAGCTGCTGCCAGCCTTTAAAACAAAAACAAAATTTGATAAATTACAGGATGAAATTGACTGAAATACAGGCTACTTTTAGCAAAATTTCTCTTGTAGAGGTATTATAACTGATTAAATCCTATCGAACCAAACATGGGTATATGTTTGAAACAAAGTTGCTTCCTACTTTCTACCAAACAACTGAGGATAATCTCTCTTACCTCATAACTGAGAATAATAATTTCAAAACACACTCTTTGAGCTCCCATACATGCTGTCTTTTGAGCAGCCACTCATGGATTCTTCTATTGCACTTTAATATTTAACTGGTAAAGCAGTTCCTCAGATAAATTCAGACTTACAAGTGAATTATAGAATTGTATGCAACTATATGTAGTGTATCCTAACATCTTACTTCTGCACTGTATACACACAGTTCATGGCACATGTATGACAGCTACAACTAAGAAATGAGTTTTAAATTTTAAATGAAGAGCAAAAACTTCTATCTCTGTAAATATAATATTTCTATAGGTTAAAGCATCACAAATCAGAATTATGGCTATTACAAGCTCTTTGAGCAATTATAAAGATTCTAAATGCTAAGCTTCTGAAAAAATTTTACACGATTTAGAAGTTTGCTGGGAGTCCTGATAATATCAAAAATTGTAACAGGAAACTACATTTCTTTATCCTAAATAGCTTAAAGCTCGTAACAGTATAAATCTGTTTCTACTTAAATTTTGTTTTAATGCCCTTTGAACTGTGTCTAACTAATAATCCCACCACAAGTTGTAAATTACTCGGCAAATGTGTTCCTCATGTTAAACCTATTGAATTAAGTAAAGCACAAGCTACTTGTGAACATACCTTGTGAATTTTTTTTTTTCATCTCACCGAACAAGTTCCTAATTTTTACATCTCAGTTACTCTTACAATAATTAATAAAGACTATACAGGAAAAACAAGAAATATAGTACATACTTGGGTCTCTTTTTTTTTGTGCTGTTGACTGTCAATGAAACTTAACCTTACTTCTTTTTTTTTTTATATTCATGGTACTACTACACTAAATATTTATTTATTTAATTAAATAATGTGCCTAAGAACACAGAATAATAACACATAAAAAAACAGGCAATGTCTTATAACTATCATAATTTTTTGGCTTATGATAGTTATAGGACATAGTCTGGTTTTTACACGTTCTTATTCTGTGTTCTTGGGCACATTATTTAATTTAAAAAAATCATTTATTGCAGTAGTACCATGAGTATAAAAAGTAGGGTTAAGTTATATCAATGGTCGACAGCACAAACATAGGTATTATTTTTTGTTTTTCATGTGCATTCTCTATTTATTACTGTAAGAGAAACTAAAATGTAAAAATTAGAGACTTATTAGATTAAATTACATAAAATAGTGAAATAATAATAAAAACTTTTCACAAGGTATACTTGCGAGTAGCCGTGTGCTATGTAATGCAATAGTGTAACGCGAGCTATACATTTGCCGAGTGATTTACAACTTGTGTGGCAGAAGTATTAGTTAGATATAGTTAATAAAACAATAAAATTAAGTATAAATAGCTGTATACTATTACAAGCTTTAAGCTACTTAGGATATACAATTGTGGTTTTCTGCTACAATTTGCAGTAAAGAAAAAGGGTAATTTAGAATTATTTCATTTTTTTTTTTTATGGTGGTTATTAGGTTGGTCAAATGAATCAACTTTGTATAGAAATTAACAGATAAAATAGTTTTTCTGGAAAAAAAATGCACTTAATATTTATTTAAGAGGTTTTATGGCTTAAATATACAAAATTTCAAATGAAGTATTTTTAGTTTTAACATAAAAATCACTTTGCACTTGGAACAGTCAACACTCAGACAACATATAACTACGAACAAATTTTAGTAAAATACTAATTAAAAAATTAAAAATTCTGATTTTTTTGTCTACAAAAGACTTAAAGTTTACTGAAAGCTTGCCAAATTTTGTAAAAACTTTAAGTACTTTCAGTGTCAAAGAGTGTTCTCTTTCAACAGAAAATATAATAAAAGTTTTTCATTAGAATTGAAGTGGCTTTTCTTTTAAAGAAGAAACAAAAACTAGCAATTTAAGTTGGTAGAAATTTTATAAAAATTTAAAGACATGGATTTTTCACCTCTTGCAATTCTGTAAGAACAGAATAAGCACTTTCAATTTGCCTCTTGGAAAGCTTTCCTAATGGCATCTTCTTCATGTCAATCTGGTTATAACAAAAGATAACATTTATATGAAACTAGAAACAGAAGATACAAAAATTACAAAAGAAAATGTATTTTAGCATATCAATAAATTATATTACAGAAATGTTTTTAAATTTTAGAAATATAGAAAAGTGTAGAAAACATTAAGATGTAATAGAAGATTGTTATAGAGAAAATGAAAATCGAATAACCAAAGTCTTAAAAGTTATATTCAATATTACATAAAATAGAACAATAAGTAAACACAAATCAGTGCACAGAAGTTTGTCTTACAATTTAATATTTTTATGTTTTTGGCACTTAGTGTTCAAGTGGGAAGAAGGAATACTAGCAATTTTATCATTTTTGTAACATTTTATTCATATCTTCAGCCATATGTTTGTTTCTCTACAATCAGTAAAAATTATCATCACATTCCTACTTTTTTAATCTTCGGTACCTCCTAATTTTTCTGAAGTCTTATTCAGTTCGAGGTTGTTCTTTTTTATGCAGAACTAAAAATATTATCGTTTAATTTACAGCCACACAACAATATTAACTACTGATTAACATGACAAACATCTGCACTGACTTAAATCATGTTACCATTTTGATTTAATTTAATTTCTATATACTTCATAACAAACCTCAAATTCAACCATAGCCTTTTTCATCTTCTCCACATCAAATATCATGCAGATGAGTTCTTGAACTGGTTCTGGAAGCTTTGATCTACTGCCTGGTTTTAAATGAATTTGAAGATCCTCTTCATCCTAAGCAATGACAACAGCAGTAATAACTTTTATTAATTAATAAATTTAAGTGAATGTTCAATCTAGCCTGGAAACTGTAGTTGAAACATTTATATTATCACATTTGAAAATCAAGTTAAATGGGTAAATCAAATAATAAAACATGAGAACTGTAATCCTAATTATAAAGCTGCAATTCAACTTTCTGTCCCCAATTTCTTACAGTAATAAAGCTTTACCTGTCCATAGTCTAACTACAACAATAGTGTTATCAATCTGTATTGTCTCACAACAATAAAGCATAACCTGTCTATAGTCTACTTTACACATAACAATGAAGTGTTGCCTTTACATCACCTATCTTAATGAAATTTTATTTATCCAGTCTATCTTACAACAATGAAGTAGCCTCACACAATTAAGTATAGCATGACCATTGTATATCTTTAACAACAATGAAGCATTAACCATCTAAGAGTCTACCTTACAGCATTGAAGCATTACCTGTCTACAATCTATCTGACAACAATGAAGCATTGCATATCCATGGTTTATCTTACAACAATGAAGCAGTGCCAGTCTATAATCTATCTTACAACAATGAAGCATTACTTGTCCACAGTAATTTACAACAATTGTGTATTACCTGACCATAGTCTATCTCAAGAGGGTAAAATTTATTAGGGTGTTTGACAAAATTCTCTCTCTGTTCCCAAACATTCCCCGTTTTCTCCTCATACAGTCGTTTGAATTCCAGAATAGCATCTAGTTTCGTTGGGAATTTTTCAAGTTTGTTTCCTCCTATTGTTGTTCCAACACGTCCCCAAGCTCGAAACACCCAATAGCTAAAACACAGTAAGTTTTCATTAGAGTGGTTGATACTTAACCAGTAATTTCAATGGCTAACAATAATCCAGTAGGTAAAGCATAGTAAGTTCTCATTACATTGGTTAACAAAAACCCAGTATCTAATACATAAGAACTTCTCTTTAATAATGGATACATAAAACTTACAACAAAATATTGATTTTCAACCTAAAATGACTTAAAAAATAACATTTAAGAGAGTAAAATTAGATGAAAGAAACAAACATTAATCTCCAATTCTGCTACATATGTGCTGACTTGTGTAAAACCATAGTGAAATGAAGTGAACTACCTAGATATCTTGTCAGACTCAAGAACCTGGAGTTTGTAGAAAGAGTTAGTTCCTCTGGTTATGTCCACCATCCCCAGAACAGCATTGTAGATATTTTTGTTCTCTTCTAACACATGGGCTTTGTCTTCTAACCCTAAAACCAGAATGAAACAAATTCTTCAGCACAGGTTTAAACCTTGGCTAGAACCAGCCTTCACATCAATAATAGCAGCTCGTACCACTTAATAAATATATCACATTGTATTAACGTTCATTAGCTACATAGTTAAATTAAATGAAGGTGTCACATCAATAATAGCAGCTCGTACCACTTAATAAATATATCACATTATATTAACATTCATTAGCTACATAGTTAAATTAAATGAAGGTGAAAACTCTGTCTTACAAATTGCCATTCAAAAAGATACTTCCTTATCTTGCAAAATGACTGAGCAAGATAAAACATATCTTGATTCATAAATTTACAAATGATTAACTTACATATTAGTTTATTATGCACTTTATTAAATAGAAATCAAGTGATTAACAGCATACTGAAAATGAAACAAGACTGTAACAAGAACTTGCAAGTTAACTACTGCCCTTTAAATGAAAGTTTAACAGAATGAAATTTTCATACGATTCATTCTATAGAACTTTCTCTTACAACAGTTAAATGAATTATTACTGTAATGCATACTGATAAGCTGATCACTACCAATGACCATGACAATAAAATTGAGTAAGATTAAGGTTATAAGGTTTCTTATTTTTGTCTTTAATTAATTAATTTTTTAACATATGTGTTTTCATAATATCATGAATAAAACTTAGCATGTAGTAAAGAGATTCATAAATCATAAAATAGCCAAATTTTACTAGTCGTTCTTTCGTGACAAAAGTGTTGTCCATTGCTTAAGCCCTAACCCACAGGAAGTATCACAAGTTACCAGGTTTTTTGTTCAGACAGTTATAGGAAATTCAGGTGTTAAATGGATGAGATGCTGTCTGCCCCGTATCTGTCCGTGGATATGAGCTTGCTACTCCACAGTCATCAGAAGGCAGGTTGATGTAGGAAGTAACGTGACAGTAAGCTCCAAATCAGCTTACAGTGTATCGAACTTCCAAATAATAATTATATAAAACTAATGCGTAACAGCTTTTACATCACGGTAAAATACATTATAAAATGGATAATACAAGGGTGCTAAAATGTTTTGCAGAACTATAATAAACATTTTGAAAAAAGATAATACACAGAATGGTAAAACGTTTTAAAGCACTATAACATACATTACTAAAAAGGATAATATACAGGGTACTAGAATGTTTTTACACCATTGTTACATACAAAGTATAGCAGCACTATACAGCACTAATAT